AGGGTGAGCATGACTATGGAGATGTGAAGAGAGAGAGTTAAAGATGGAAAGAAATATTAAAACCTACCTTTCAGGTTTACTGATGAGCTCCCTACATTTACTCTGTTCCAGAGGATACAAGTCACCTCACTCTTCTCATTTTTCCTTCATTTCCCCTTTTAAACTATAATGTGTCTTTCTGGGAAGAATAAGGCCATGATCAATACAACTAACATACATAATAATAAAACATAAAATACTAAAATGTTTGGGTATTAATATCAAGCTTGCACTGATCTTTATTTTTCCTTCTGTTGTATTTTGTTGGAATTTTCTGTTTTGTTTTTGTCATCTTTTTTAAAGCTTGCATTAATCTTTAAAGTAAAATAAATGTTTCACTTTGCATTGGATACTCTAACCCCTCTTTCTGGTTATAATTAAGGTTAACATTGATTGTGGTTTCATTTATCTGTTCTAATTTTGATTTCATTAACTTTTATCTCCATTTCCACAACTATTTGATATTAGAAAACCAAGTCCTGTTACCTCCTCTCCCCCTGGCAGGCTTCTCTCTGGGCTCCACGGTGCAGTCTCACACCAAGGGAATCTGGATGTGGTGTGTGCCTCATCCTAAGAAGCCAAACCACACCTTAGTTCTGCTTGACACCGAAGGCCTGGGAGATGTAGAGAAGGTAAGACATGAATTTTTACATCTTACTTATGTCAGATCACTAGCCCCCTTTTACTGCCTCCCGCACTCCTTGATGTAGGCTTCTAACATAGCATATCACCATATGATTCCTTTCATTTACTTAGTAGTGGTCAACATTTGACCTTAAATACAGTCTGAATCCAACCAAAGTAAGATTTATATAAGGAAAGTAAACATAAATGATGATGCTAACAAGCTCATTGAAGAGTTGTCACAGACCTTAAACACTGAGCTTCACCTGGCCGCATTACATACATGAGCACTGAAAGTGGACCATAAGGTCTGCTGATAGGCTATACAACTTGTAAATAATGGCCGATGACAGTTTAAGTCGTTTTTCTTTAATATCATAGAAAACTGTTTTGGTGAGGCTGTGAAGGCGCCTTTAAACCTGACTAGATACTTTATAAACATGTCTGACTTTTCACAATAGGAATCCTGAAAGGTGGTAAATATGGTCTTATCCACAGCTGTGCTATCTATTTATAACAGAAGCAAAGGATAAGATTTGACGTCAATATCTTTGTTCAGAAAGGATTGTACATTACTACTCTTCTAAATCCTAGACCTATAAAACTCCTATCAAGGGAGCACTTGTTAACTACTAAGGAGTTTCTTACCGTTGTATGCCATAGAAATGTAATAGGATCACAATCTAAGTTTAGGGGACCTGTTTGAAATGTATTAAGTGATCATAAATACTTATTACTATCACTCTCCTATGCATTTATATGCATTGCCTTATTTAAATTTCATGACACTCTGAATTGAATGTTCATAAATTTATTGTATAGATCAGAAAAATTTGCATAGGGAAATGACTAACCTAAGTTTCCACAGATAAATAGAAAAATAGGTGGTTCAGACTTTATCTACCTGAATTGAAAGCATGGCACTTTTACTGTCTATTCCATGTGACTCTACAATGACGTCTAGGGAGACAACCAGAATGACTCCTGGATCTTCGCTTTGGCAGTCCTCCTGAGTAGCACCTTTGTCTACAACAGCATGGGAACCATCAACCAAATGGCCATGGACCAACTGCAGTATCCTTTTTGTGGTCCAAAACAACTTAAATCCAGAAAGTCACAGCTTCATATTTTCACTAGGTAGAGTGGTGGGCAACTGCAGAAGAATTCATAAGTCCTCTCCTTAACAAATCCCATCATGCTCAATATCTAAATTCAGTTCAACCAGCCCCAGAGAGTCAAGCTTTTCTGGTATTCCAGACATTATTTTTATTTACTTGTTTATCATCTCTGTCCCTCAGTAGAATGAGATTATCATTAGACATTATCCTAGACACTTAGCTGCACAAGGCTCTGTACATCCCCCATCTGAGTTAATCTCCCCTCCCTTGCCTAACCCTCAACATCCTCTAAAATTCATGCTCTCATTCAGCAAATCTCTACATCCTTATCATCTCCTCTAAATATTTCCTTCTAACTGAGTTCTGTCTATACTTTGTGGACATAGTTTCCCCAACAGGCCTCTCCAGTGATTTTAGTGGTGATCTTTTTCTCCTATACCTTGCCTAAGTCCCAGAAAATTTAGGTAACCTCCTTGCTCCTTATGATAGCTTCTGGATAGTTCCTCATTCTTCTCCCATTAAAAAGAGAAAGTCCTTTGAATGACATGCACCGATACTACAGCACTCCTCATTGGTGCAGTCATCTACCAACCCCCCTATAAACAAACCAACCTCCCTGTGAACAAACCCTTCCTATGTTAAAACTTCTAGCTCTTAGTTCACTGTAGTCTTAGAAATGTCAACAACCAATACACATCCATTTAACACTCTGATCTCTCAGTTTCATCACCTTCTTATACCTTACCCTGCACTCTCCTTCATTCCTAGTTTTGGTCATTATCAACAACTTCAACATTTCTATAACTTAATTTCAACCGTTGTCCTACATTAGCATTTGTAAAGATTACCTTCATGAGCTTCCATCTAATGGATACTTATACTCTTTGACTTCTCAGTAGCATTTGATAGTTGATGTTTTCCTCTTTTCTGAAACAGTTGGTTCTTTAAGTGTCTAGAATGTCATTGCATCTTAATATTCCACTTTCTTAGTTGTTCCATCTTCTTGGTTTCTAACTATTTAATTCTTGGGAATCTTCTAGTCTTCCTCTATTCTCAATCCTTAAGTGATCTCATCCAGACTCAAGGCTTTCAGTAGCATCTGTATGTGGATTACCACAACAGTTGTATATGCAATCATGACTGCTGTTCTCAGGTGCAATCTTGTGTATGTAGATATTCACACAGTTTCTCTGTTTAGAGGGTAAGAGACGTCTCAAACAGCATATAAAATGAACAGAACTTTTAATTTTTCTGTTCAACAGCACTGCTTCACTATCACAGTAAATTCCCACAGCATTCACACGGGTCCTTCCATCAAAAACTTAGAATTCATCCTGGATGATTTCTTTCTTCATACCTTAGAAACTACTAGCTGGTAAGTTTTGTCGGCTGCACTGTCATAGGTATTTGCCCATGCTGACCAATTCTCATCATTTCCTGCACCATAACTCTAGTTGAAGTTCCATCTTCTTTTATCTGTGTTACCTCCTTAACTACCTAACCCCTCTCTCTACTTACACTCTTGCCCCTCACAGACGCAACACCAGCCAGGATGATCTCTTAAAAACCAGCATCAGATCATATCCCCCTTGAACTTAAAACTTCCCAATGGCTTCCCATTAAATTTAGGTTAAAATTCAAACTCTTTCTATAGCTTACATGGTCTGGACCCTATCCATTCTAGGACTTTGACCCTAGCCACACTGGCATGCTTGTTATTTATTAGACACCCTTAGTAATTTTTTGTCTAAGTGTTTTCAAGTACTCTTTTCTCCCCCTAAAATGTCCCTGCATTGGATTTGTGCATGGTTGACTCCCACAATTCATCCAGATCTCTGCTCAGACAACCTCAGAGAGAATTTAGCTGAACAACCACATAAACCAGAACCACATACAGTTATTCTCTAACCTTCAGCATAGTTCACTTTTCTTTCAGGTCATTATTACTAATACCTCAAATTTTATTGTATTTTTGTTTACATACTTATTATATGTCTCCCTGACTAGAATGGAAACTTTACGATACTAGTATTATCTCATTTACTGCAATATTCTTAGTCCCTAGAACAGTGCCTGGTTCATAGTAGGTGCTTAATAGATATTTGTGGAATGAATGGAAAAAATGAATGACTGAGCTAATTAAGAGAAAAAATTATTTCAGCTGAGCTTTGGGATAAAGTACTGCATAAAAAGTGTTCTTCTTTTCTGCAGTTTTCCTATGTTAGCATCTCAGTTATGTAACAGAGCTGACTGAACGAATCAGGGCAAAATCCTCACCTGATAATGGTAAGGTTGAAGACTCAGCCGACTTTGTGAGCTTCTTTCCAGCCTTTGTGTGGACTCTGAGAGATTTCTCCCTGGAACTAGAAGTACATGGAGAACCCATCACTCCTGATGAGTATTTGGAGTTGTCACTGAGACTAAAGAAAGGTGACTGGGACTTATCATTGGGTGACAAATAAAGAAAAAACAATATTAAAATAACCATTTGTGTGTAGATGCTAAAGTTATAATTTTGTAACTGTGTGATTCTGACTGTTTTATTGCAGGAAATGAAAACATTCCTTGGCTGAACAGATGGATCTAATTTTAAAATATCTTCCTCTTCCTGGAGAAAGAAAGTTTCTCTACCCTTCAATTTCTTAAAAATTCTTGATCCATCATGAGTTCATTTTTTGTCTCTTTCCATAGGATTTGTGCATATTATGAAGTTGAAGTGTCATATATTTGAGACAGTTAGTATAAATTTGTACTATTTCTGATTTTCATTTCTCTAGGTACTGATAAAAAAACTAAAAGCTTTAATGAACCTCGGTTGTGCATCCGAAAGTTCTTTCCAAAGAAGAAGTGCTTCATCTTTGACCGTCCTGCTCCAAGGAAGCAGCTTACCCAGCTGGAGCAGCTACAGGAGGAAGACCTATACTCTGAGTTCAGAGAACAAGTAGCAGAATTCTGCTCCTACATCTTCAGATATTCTGAGGCCAAGACTCTCTCAGGCGGCATCATAGTCACTGGGCCTCGTGAGTTCTTCTCACTCCTCACTTCTTACCTGAACTTTCCTTCTGTCCATTGAAGAAAATAAAAGAGGGAGATATAAATGTACTTATGAAAAACACATAGTATAATGATGCTCAGGAAAACATACCACAAGATTCACATTGTGAACTTTATGGACAAGTAAAACTATTTCTGGTGTTATCTAATATTCATATGAGCAAGATGAATAGAGGAGAAGAACTAGAGTTCTTCTATTTTTGCATAGTAATTTTCCCCACATATTCTCAGCTCCCTATTTATGAAAGATTCTCCTAGTGGATCTATATAGATTGACAAAGTCCAGAGAAGGCAAATACCCCATTGATGTGAGTCTTTGCTGCTGACCTTAGCACCAGTCCCTTATTCAGCAATTCAGGAATAGGGAAATTCACTAGAAATTCATGAAATGCACCAATAACTGGGTATAATGGTAGATAGAAAATATTTTATTTCTATCCTCATTTCAGCACCACAGGAGTAAAAGTACTTAATTTTTTAAAATTATAATGATAAATAGTGAAAAGCACAATAAATTAAAATAATAGGCTGCTATGAGAAATTAAGGAGTATATGCATGTAGAAGATAATTTGGATTCAAAGACAGAGAATTTTTGTCTCTGAAAGTAACATGTTCTTACATGTTACATGACAACTTAATGAGTAGGCATCAAGCAAAAGAATAGAAAGAATGCTTTGCAGACAGAGATAATATCATGTGGAAAGGTCTGAGACAGGAAGGAACTCTGTAATTTCAACAAAGGAAAAGAAAGATGGTGTGTTAAATAACAGCAGAAAGCATAAAAGTGGCATCACAATTGGAGAAGTATGTAGGGGTAGTACTTGAAGGGATCGTAGATGACTTTAAGGAGAATAGAGTTTAAATTCAATGGGACAATCTTGAAGAATTTTAGACAGAGAAGTAAAGTTATCCCATTTATATTTAAAACTGTCTTCCTAGATGTTTTTTAGATGTGTTGGAGGGATATACAAGAGACATGAGAAGCTGAATAATATTTGCAAGATTTTAATAATAAATGGGGATTTTGTTAAGCTAAGATGATAACAATGGTCAAAATGGACAGGATCCTTTTTAAATGTTAAATCCATAAGGCACAATGATGGATGTGAGCAGGGAATTAAAAGGACTCCAGGGTTCTGAAATTAAGCAACTGTTTGAATGGGTGTCAATTACTGAGAGGGATATCTGAAGGAGAAGTAGTTTTTCAGAGTGGATGAAGTTATTTAGATTTAGATTATTTAATATTGGTGTTCCTCTGATGTATAAAAGAAAGTATAACATGCAGATATTCAAATATACAAATGTAAAGCTTAAAAATCAAGTCAAAACAGAAAATACAATTCACTAGTATCCATATAGATATTTAAAACTGTAGAAACAGAAGGGAAGGCCCAGGATTGAGTCCCAAAGAACTGCTGCTTGTAGGGTAACCAACCACTCCAGTTTGCCCAAGGCTGGGATTTCTTGGGATGTAAGACGTTCAATGCCCAAACCAGCAAAGCTCTGCACAAACCTGGATGAGTGGGTCACTCTGCAAGTAGCTCCAATAAGGCAGTATCTAGGAAGACTCGCTTATCTAGGCCAAACAAGACTAATGGCCTATAGCAGATACACACACACCCACACTCACACACCTGTACACATAAGCGAGCTAAGTTTTCTCCTTAGCCTTTTTCATAAATTAGAACTGAAGAAGGAAAAGAAAGGAAGGCAGAATAAAGGGAAATGTAGAATGGTTGAGAAAACATCAAGACCTAATATCTTGACCACAAAATATCCCTTTCTGATCCATTCACTGCACCATCTTTCTTTTGGACAAGGAAAATAGAAAGAGAAATTTAAACTTCTCTGAATCTAGAGGTTATCAAAATATTCCATCACTATTCTCCCTCAAAAAATTCCTAAACTACTGTTTGTGATATTAGAAAAGCATTACAAATGTTCTAGCACTTGATTCTAAAAAATTAAATCATTAAATTCACATTTTAGGACTAAACAGTTTATGGTTTGTTCCTCTCTTTCACCAACTGACAATTGCTATTTTATTAAATTCTCTTTTGCAGGACTGGAGAACCTGGTGCTGACCTACGTCAATGCCATCAGCAGTGGGGATCTGCCCTGCATGGAGAATGCGGTCCTGGCCTTGGCAGAGATAGAGAACTCAGCCGCTGTGAAAAAGGCCATTGCCCACTATGACGAGCAGATGGCCCAGAAGGTGCAGCTGCCCACAGAAACCCTCCAGGAGCTGCTGGACCTGCACAGGGCCAGTGAGAAAGAGGCCATTGAAATCTTCATGAACAAGTCCTTCAAGGATGTGGACCAAAAGTTCCAGAAGGAATTAGCGGTGTGTGTGCTATTCTAGATAATGAGAGGCAGAAAAACCTGGGCCTTTCTGGATATGAGTAGTTCTTCCTAGATCCAAAGACAGAAGCACTCGGTTAATGTGTATTCATTTGCAATCATTACTAAAAAAATAGAATACTCCTAGCCTCGGTCCTATAGACCATGGCACCACAACCAACTATATTTATTATAGTTATCCTCTTTTGTAGTCCCTTTCTGGATGGCATATTTGGAGCAAATAAGTAAATTGTAAAACTGTATTTATATAAGATTATTTAAATTTATTTTAAAGTGAATCAAAGGCACAACACTTTCATGTTCCCTGCAAATAATCTGATAGGATACGATTCTTTATGAAAACACTAAAAATATTTTGTCTTTATTGTAAAGCAATAGTAGAATTTTTAGGAAACCAAGAAAGTCAAACCAATCATAAGAATGCTGTTTGAGAATGTTTCCAAATCTGTGTCTTTACAAATTAGGGGAGGGTTGCAAGGCAGGATTTTACAAATGTCACCTCCCTGCTTTTAAAGGGAGGTGAAATTTAGATAGTCAATGAAATTAGATAGTCAAGTTCAGCAGACAATGGACATCCTTCTGGACTAATGTAAAAGCTTGTTATGTAAGTTCTCCTAAATGATGTAACATAGGTAAATAAACAAGGTCCAGCAAAAATAACACCACCTTTTTATTACAAAATCATAAGCATGTAATTCTGTAACATAACAATATTACATTCAAGCACACCATTTGATATTTTAGGTGAAATGTTTAAATTAAGACTATAAATTATCACATCCATATTAACACCCCACCAATCACACTCAAGCAGGCCTTACTCCTGCCAGGCTCTGTATTTTTGTTAGGCTTTCTCAATACTCAAAATACCTGGGATACAATCTTCATTACCTTCCTTAGCCTTAGACTGAGAAAATCTACAAAAATATTCTCATCCAAAAGGTTGTATCAATAATCATCGACGGTTTACTGAGCAGTTGTAGAAAAGCCACTGAGGTTAATACTTTACATCACTACATCTAATCCTGACATAAAATCTATGAAATGGATATAATTTCCAATGTTTTACCAACAAGGAGACCTCAGTTCACAAAGGTTGAGTGTCACAAAGCCACAAAGGAGTGGACCCAGGAACTCCATCCACCTAGGCCTTCCTGGCTCCACAGGTTGTACTCTGAGCTCTTCTGAAATTGGACTTCAAAGGAGAAGTTTCACATGGAACGGTGTCTGTGCTTTAGAATCATTCTCTGTAGCAGGAAAAGTAGAGAAAAGAGCTTCAGATAATCACAGCCAGAAAGGTAGATGTAGTTTTTTTCCACCTGCAACCTTCTTAGAGACATTCTAGAGCCTCACAGCAAGGTGATGGTGTGGCCCAGTTTATATACCACAGTCTCTGGAGGAGAAGCATTTCTCCATAGTCTATGTGTGGTGAACATCCTCCTCATGGCTAACTGTACCATCTGTGCTATTTTGTCACTTCACAGGAATGTTTACTAGCAAAACGAGATGACTTTTGTAAGCTGAATGTGAAAGCATCGTCAGAGTGTTGCATGGCTTTACTTCAGGACATTTTCAGTTCTCTAGATGAAGATGTGAAGGAGGGAAAATTTTCTAAACCAGGAGGTTATCAACTCTTTACTCAGAAGCAACAGAAGCTGAAGAATGAGTACTACAAAGTGCCTAGAAAGGGGGTAGAGGTAAATATCTACTGAATACTATTTCTGAGGACTTGCTGAGATGACCCTTTCAGACTATAGTGGGAACAACCAAAATGGGATTGGGACATAGTGCCTCTGCCTCTCACTCAGTCACTCACTGATTCATTTAGGAGAGAGACTGCCATGGGATGCAGTACATATTCCTCCTTGGAAGCACAGGTGAAGCCCTCAAAAAATGTAGAATTAATCCATTAATTTAGTCATCCAGTGATCCAGAAGTGATCTATTCAGGCCTAACTATATGTCCAGTCTTGTCAAGTTTCTGGGACTAAGGCAATTAAAAAAAAAGTTCTCACAAAGCCTTAACCAGAAATAAGCAAATTATGTAGCTTACAGACAAAAATAATAACAGTTGACACATACAGACCTTGTTGTGCTTCAGGAAATAGATGGGCTTAACTCATTCAATTCTCACAACAACCCTAAAAAGTACATGTTATTCATATCCCCAGTTTATAAATAAGAAAATGGAGACACAGAAGTAAAAGAACACCCAAGAACATATAGGTAATGCATGGTGCAGCTGGAGTGCTAATCCGGATAGCAGACTGTGCTCTTAATTACCCTTTTATGCTTGTGTACTCAGTTTATGTCCATTAGAATTAGGTTTGGGTAAATATTATTTAAAAAAGAGTGGCTTAGAAAAGACAGACATTTCTCTCTTGTGTGCAAGAAGTGATTAAGAGCTGATCAGTGTGGCTCAGCTGGCGGGGCTTCCTTCTGCAAAGTGAAGGTCTGCCAGTTAGATCCCTGGTCGGGGCACACATGAGATTCCACCGATTGATGTTTCTCTCTCACGTCCATGTTTCTCACCCTCCCTCCCTATCTCTTTAAAAAATGATTAAAATATTTTTTAAAAGAGAAGTGATGAAGAGAGAGTCCAGGTTGATAATGACAACTCCATGATAACATCATTCTCAGGCCTGTTCCTTTGTTCTGCCCTAGCACCTGAGCACTGTGTCTCTCTTCATGGTTAATTTGTGCTCTAAGATGGCTCCTAGAGTTTCACCCATTAGTTCCACATTACAGGTGGAGGGAAAAGGGAAAACAGAAGAGTAAAAGGGTTAACTCTCTTTAAGGTGATTTCCAAGAAGTACCATAGGCCTCTGCTTAAGTGCAATTGGTGAGAATTTCATCGTTATGGGCACTGAGCTCCCAGGGATGTTGAACAGGAAATGCAAAATTTTATCTTAGTCCACAACCTGTCCAGGTGAATAAAAAATCAGAGTTCTGTTACTAAGAACAAAGAGGAGAATAATATTAGAATTATTCTAACGGTCAAAAACTGCCCTGAAGAAAAAGGAAAGTAGGTTATGGGTATAGAAGAGGAAGGAAATGTGATGCTATTTTACATGTTTTTACAGAAGGCTTTTGTCATGAAGTAATGTTTCAGCACAGTCTTCAAAGAAGTGAGGGAATGAACTAAATGGGAATCCAGGAAAACAAAATTTCAAAGCAGAAAACTCCAAAGGATAAATTGGTTTCTATCCTAGGAATAGCAAGAAATGTGGTAGGAGGGCAGTGGGCAAAGGAGGAGGTGGCAGGAGATGATCTCAAAGAGCTGTTCAAAGGCCACAAGCCAGATAAGATAGTACCATGGAGTCACTAAGAAACTTTGAATTGTATTTAGAAAGAGTAGGAAAATCAGTAGAAGGTTTTGTGCATTAGAGTGAGCTGATCTTTCTTAAAATGGTATAGCATAACATTAGGTACCCTGAGAAGAATGGACTGTAGGGGAGCAAGAATGAAAGTAGGCAGACCAATTTTGAAGCTAATGCAATGGTCCATGCAAAAAGTAATGAGGCATTGGACCAAAGCATATGGGAGGAGCTGGTGACAAGTGATGGGTTCTGGTTGGTTTTATGTGAACACAGAGCAAAAATCATCAGCTGATGATTGATTGCATGTGGGATGTGTGAGAAAAAGAGATATCGACTGTAACTGTTAAGGTTGTTAACCCATAACAGTTAGAAAACCAGAGTTACTAAATTAAATGAGTAAAATTGGGGTGATAGGGAATGAAACAGGTTTAAGAGATAACTCAAAGTTGGTCTTTAGGGCAGTTAAGTTTGAAATGCTACTTGAATTCTACAAGGGTTGTTATATACATGATAAAATTAAATTAACACATGTATTGCTGGATTTTGCCTTAATTCATAGTCTCTGTTTCTTAATTCTAACTTCCTCTGTATCGCCAGGCAGAAGAGACACTGAGGAAATACTTGGAGTCCAAGGAGTCTGTGGCTGATGCCATTCTACAGACTGACCAGTCACTCACAGAAATGGAAAAGGAGATTGAAGGTGAGAACAGGTGCAAACACTCTAGATAGGTGGAGAGACCTAGAAATGTTCATATTAGCCACATTAGTCCACCTGAAACATTATTGGAGAGCAAAGAATAATAAGTATAGTTCATAGCTCTACCAGATTTTTTTAACTGTTAGTTTTGGCCAACTTTTGCTTACTCATTGCAAAAACTATCACAAAAGCTTTCTCTACGGCATATGAATAAAAAAAGGTGGGGATGAAAAGCAAAATAAGGCTCTAACAATTTAATCCTTACATTTCTGTGCTCATTTTTCTTCCTCAGTGGCACGTATAAAGGCTGAATCTGCAGAAGCAGCACAAAATATGTTGAAGGAAATGGAAGAAAAGACTCAGCAGATGATGGAAGAGAAGGAAAAGAGTCATCAGGAACATTTGAAACAATTGACTGACAAGATGGCGCAGGAGAGGGCCCAGTTAATGGCAGAGCATGAGAGGGTTCTGAGTCTTAAACTTCAGGTATTCTATTCTGTCATCACCATTTTATCTTCCACAGTACTGAGCCAAAAACACGGCTTAGAAGGTCTAGAGCTTTATGTCAGATTAAGGGCTTTTCTAGCCCAAACACTAGTAGACATTTCATTTTCTTACTGCTTCTGTCTATAACCATCTCTGGTTAATTAATGGCATTTACTCACAGGATAAAATGTCAATGACTCTTTTATTATTAAATCACTAACAAACAATAGTTATTCACTGACCGGCTCTGCATGTTGGTTTTATATCACTCTGTAACCAAATCCTCATGTTATATTGTAGGTGCTATTATATTCTCATTTTCAAATAAGGAAATTGTAATTTCATGAGAGTTAAGTGATATTTCTGAGTCTTATCTTGTGGAAGAATACCTGGCCTGTCTACCCTACTGAGTGGAGTTCAGTGATTTTGTTTCTGCCACACCTGGTATCACTTTATTCCTGCAGGCACCCTATGAATGGGAAGACTCCCTGACCATCTAAACAATTAATCATGTAATTAAATACCCAGGTTGCCTGTATCTTCCTCTTTTCCAGGCACTATACTGAGTCATTGTTGAGTCCAGATGTTCACTCAGAAATAAAGTACAGACCAGTGCAGACCCTGATCTCTTCAACTTACTTCTGCCCCCTTGTCACCAAGTTTTGGAAAGTTGTACTAAGTTCCCTCATCAAACATCTGCCATGATTCTGAATCATGTAGTAACCTTTCCATTGCAATTCATCTTTCTTACCTTCTTAGACATATATTTGAGAGCCCACACTAACTACATCATAGTTGAAGGGAAAATATGATAGATTTTCCAGAAACACTGTGTTGCATGTGGATGAAGAAGGACAAGAATATGATTCTGTGTCACTAATGTTTTAGAAACCATAAGAGAAGAAGTTTCATGTAGCTAAATAAAGCCCCCCCCCCCAAATTATTGGCAGCTGTAGAAAATTCCAAAGAGGGTGATTTAATAGAAGTTAAGAAAGGCACAAATTTAAAAACTAACTTTTAAAAACTCATGTGGGATTAACATAAGTATTGACAGGGACAATAATTTGGCAAATATGGGAAATGTTTTAGATTGTGTGAATTCAGTCTTCACTTTCCCTTTCAGGAAAATGAACGGCTTCTCAAGGAGGGATTACAAGAACAGAGCAGGAAACTTCAAAAAGAGATAAACGATTTGGAGAGGAGACGCAGAGAACAATCCCCATCATGTAACATACTCTAAAAATCCAAGGAGCATCATTTCCTCACCAGCTCCCCTCCCCTCCACTAGGAAAACTTGAATGAGCAACTTCAGAATGTCAAACAATTGCCCCTAAATTAAAATGAAAATCATGATGCTTGCAATGTTATTGCCATAAAATTCACAAAGATAAAATAAAGTGCAAAGTTTTCTTTACAGAGTGATTCAATTCATGCTTAATTATAGTAATAATGATAAGTATGATTCTTAACTGGAGCTTGTATTTGAAACCATGCATATTGAATCTAGAGACACTGGAAAATGTATAATGGGGTGAAATCAGGATGGTTCTGTTCAGAGTAGAATTGTTTTCCATCACACATCACACTTCTAAATATCCTAAGCTCCATTCTATTGCTCAAAAGCTTTCTTTGGTCTTGGGATAGAATCAGTGTGTTTTGAACATAGGGCAAGGCTGAAGGAAGTAAACAGTTGATCAGTTCCATGGGGTGCAGTTAATCATCACTCCTGCCGAGTTGTCATGCTCATGACCTGGCTGCAAATATGAAAGACCTGGGACAATTGACTGCAAGGTGCTCACAGTGTACAGTTCTTTACTGGGTGACAGCTGTGTGGTCTGTGGACACAGATGGGATTCTGGGGAAATAGTAGAAGAAGTGCTTGCCTCTGTTGCAAAATGAATTTGTGTGTGGATGTTTTATTTTCCCTGTCTACAAAATTCTTCTAGATAATTATTCTCTTCTCTACAGGCCACCCTACCTCTCTCTCTCCTATTCTCCTTTCCTTAGTCGTTTCCCTCTCACAGTTCAGAGAGTAACTTCTAGAGTCAAAGACAGAAAATATTAACACAAAATTGAAATAAATTTATTTTCATTCCTCTTAGAATCATAACTATAATCCTATAAAACATAAAACTAGGTTCTATTTTTCTCCGTGCCTTTTGCTTTTGTTTTGGAGCAAATATTTTGAAGGAGAAAAAGAACATTGACCCTCCATTCACACCATATACAAAAATAAATTTAAGGTGAATCATAGTCTTAAATGTTAAAACTAATATCATAAAGTTTCCAAAAAGAAAACATAGAAGAAAATTTTTATAATTTCCAGGTAGGTAAGGATTTCTTAAATGGGATATAGAATGCACTATATACACAAGGAAAAAATATTAAATTACACTTCATTGGAAATAAAACATTCCACAGCTTTTATCAGCAACACCGGAAATAACAAATGCTGGTGAAGAGGGAAGCCTAGTGCTCTGTTGATGGGACTGGAATTCATGTGGCCACTATAAAAATAGCATGAAGAAATCTCAAAAATTAAAAATAGAACTACCATATGATCCAGCGATTCTACTTGTGGGTATGTATCCAAAGAAAACAAAACCTTGACTCAGAAAGATATATGTACTCCCGTGTTGACTGCAACATTATATATATAGTTTGTCTAGGAGTTATCCAGTTATGTAATATGAAAAATAGTGGCATTTATTGAGGAAGACACAAGATACTAAGAACATTGTGCATAGGACAATGACACTTCAGTCCCCTTCAAAGTAGGCACCTTGGGACATCTCACAGTTCTCCTAGCATCTCTTCTACTGTTCAAACTACTCTGCAAAAACTTTTGTTGGAATCACCATCATCTTCCCCATTATATTTTCCTGAAACTCATCAATGGTCTGAAATCTCTTATTTTTCAAAGGTGATTTTAGTTTCAGGAAAAGCCAGAAGTCACAGGGCTACAAATCTGCACTATACAGGGGCTGAATCACCTGGGTGATTTGATGTTTCACCAAAATACTCTGCACAAGCAATGATACATGAGCAGATGCATTATCATGATGAAGCTGTCAATCACCAGTTGCCCATAGCTGTGGCTTTCTGAATCATCCAGATAGTTTCATGGAGGAATGCTCAAGCTTAATGCAAAATTTCATGCAGATTTGTTGCTCTAAAATATATTTTAGCACCATTGTTCCCTCTCTGACCTCACCCCCACATACAGCATCACAACCTAGCCACTGGGGTGCCCAGCCCTAGTGAACACCTAAGGCTCCGCCCCTCAATATGTAACAGGCATGACTAGACCCACCCCCCCCCCCGCCAAATGGCTCAAATAGAACAAATCAAAGCCCCACATCCAATACTTTTAAGCGACCAAGAGATAGCCAACCTATCAGATGCACAGTTAAAAACACTGGTGATCAGGATGCTCACAGAATTGGTTGATTCTGGTCACAAATTAGATGAAAAAATGAAGGCTACAATAAGTGAAATGAAGAAAAATGCACAGGGAACCAATAGTGATGGAAAGAAAACTGGGTTTCAAATCAATAGAGTGGACCAGAAGGAAGAAAAAACATACAATCAGGAAAGAATGAGGAAATAAGAATTCAAAAGAATGAGGACAGGCTTAGGAACCTCCAAGACATCTTTAAACGTTCCAACATCTGAATTATAGGGGTACCAGAAGGAGAAGAGGAAAAGCAAAAAGTGGAAAACTTATTTGAACAAATAATAAAAGAGAACTTCCCCAATCTGGCAAAGGAAATAGACTTCTAGGAAGTCCAGGAAGCTCTGAGAGTCCCAAAGAAGTTGAACCTAAGGAGGAGCACAGCAAGGCACATCATAATTACATTAGCCAAGATTAAAATGAAGGAGAGAATTCTAGAAGCAGCAAGAGATAAGGGGACAGTCACCTACAAAGGAGTTCCCATCAGACTGTCAGCTGATTTCTCAAAAGAGATCTTGCAGGCAAGAAGGGGTTGGAAAGAAGTATTCCAAGTCATGAAAGGCAAGGACCTACATCCCAGATTGCTCTATCCAGTTAAATTTTCATTTAGAATGGAAGGGCAGATAAAGTGTTTCTCAGATAAGGTCAAGTTAAAGGAGTTCATCATCACCAAGTCCTTACTTAATGAAATGTTAAAGGGACTTATCTAAGAAAAAGAAGATAAAAAATATGAACAGTAAAAAACATCAAACTCACAGTTATTAACAACCACACCTAAAACAAAAGAAACTAAGCAAACAACTAGAACAGGAACAGAACCACAGAAATGGAGATCACCTGAAGGGTTAGCAACAGGGGAGTCGGAGGAAGAGAGAGGGGGAAAAGGTACAGAGAATAAGTGGCATAGACAGTAGGTACAAAATAGACAGGGGGAGAGCAAAAATAGTATGGGAAATGTAGAAGCTAAAGAACTTACGACACATGGACATGAACTAAAGGGGGGAAGTGGGTGGGAGAGGGTGTGCAGGTTGGAGGGGAGTGAAGGGAGGAAATGGGACAACTGTAATGGCATAATCAATAAAATATATTTTAAATAAGAAAATCTCTGCCTTAAATCAATCTTATATACTGAAACTTGATACCCTTTAATCATACCTCCCAGTTAACCTGCCAGCCCCTGTCAACCACCAATTTCATCTCCGCTGCATTGAGTTTTATTGTTTCAAATTCTTCATATCACAAGTGGTATCTTGTAATATATGTCTGGATTATTTTATTTAGTATAATGTATCCCAGGTTCATAAATGTTGTCACAAAATCATAGGATTTCTTTTTTTAAGGTGGAATTATAGTCCATTGTATGTAAATACCAGGCTTTCATTATCCAGTCCTCCTTCAAAAGATATTGAGGTTGTTTCCACATCTTCTTCATTGTGCATAAAACTTTGGCCAACAAAGTTGTGCAGATTTCTCTTTGAGACACTGTTTTCATTTGCTTTGAATATATACCAAGAAGTGGGATGCTGGATCGTATGGTAGCTTGTTTTGTTTTGTTTGGTTGAAGCAACTTCATATTGTTTTCTACAATGGCTGCACCAATTATCATTCCCACCAAGAGTGTAAAAGGATTTACTTTTTACCACATTGTTACCAGCATTTGTTTTCTTTTTCTTTTGTTTTCTTTTGTTTTTTAATGCACAGTCTGGAAAGTGTGAGGTGATATTTCATTGTGGTTTTCATTTGCATTTCCCTGCTGATTAGTAAAGTTCGGAATCTGTTCACATACTTATTGGTAACTTTTATGTCTTCTTTGGAGAAATGTCTATTCAGTTACTTGTTCATATTTTAAATTGGTGTATTTGGTTTTTTGTCATCAAGTTGTAGAAGTCTTTATATATTCTGGATATTAACCCTCTATCAGATGTATGGTTTGCAACTATTTTCTCCCATTCCATAGGCTGCATCTTCACTTATTGATCATATCCTTTGGTGTGAAAAAGCTTTTTATTTTGAATTAATCCTAATTGCCTACTTTGCTTTGGTTGCCTGTGGTTTTGGTGTCAGATTCAAAAAATCATTGCCAAGGCCAATGTCAACAAGCTTCCTCCCTATGTTTTCTTCTAGCAGTTTAAAAATTCAACTGCTACATAAGTATTCAGTCCACTTTGAGTAGTTTTGGTGTATGATGTAGGATAAGGGTTTTTAATCTTTATGTGCAGATATTTTAATCTTTTTTATGCAGATGTCTTGCTTGTTATGCAGATGTCTTATGCAGATGTCACAGGCCCAGATGTTGAAGAGGCTATTCTTTCCCCATTGTGTATTCTTGGCAACTTTGTGAAAAATCAGTTGACAATATATATATATATGGGTTTATTTCTGTGGTCTCTATTCTGCTCCACTGATCTGTATGTCTGTTTTTATGCCACTACCATACTGTTTTGATTACCATAGCTTTGTAATATATTTTGAAACCAGAAGGTGTGATGCCTCAAGCTTTGTTCTTCTTGCTTACAATTGCTTTGGCTATTCACGGTATTTTGTGGATCTATATAAATTTTAGAATTTCTTTTTATTTTGGTAAAAAATGTCATTAGGATTTTGACAAGGATTACATCAAAACTTTAAATTGGTTTGGGGAGTATGGACATTTTAATAATATTAATTGTTCTAATCCATGAACACAAAATGTCCTTCCAGTTATTTGTGTCTGCTTTAACTTCTTTCATCAGTGTTTGATAGCTTTTAGTCAACAAACCTTTCATCTCCTTGATTAAATTTAATCCTAAGTATCTTGTTCTTTATGATGCTACTGTAACTGAATTATTTTCTTAATTTCCCTTAGCAGAGTTTGTTTTCAGTGTATAAAAATGCAAATGTTTTTTGTATGTTGGTTTTGTTTCCTGCGAATCTATTGCATTCATTTATTAGTTAGCTCTAACAGTTTCATGTTGAGTCTT